CCATATATGAAATAACCTAAACCTGCTGCAATTATTCATTAAACAATTCAGAGGTACCGTTAAAGTTCAAAACCAGTAGACATTGTTCTCAAAAGTTTTTTATGCTTTTGTAAGAAAATGGCATAACAAAAGAGTTGCAACTCACTGTAGTTTTTGATCCAAGCACAGCTGAAGGATGAATTATATTGTTTTGTGCAGAGAAGGAATACCCTGATAGGTGACTTGCGTCTCCCGTGACCTGACACAATTAAGGATGATAATTAGCTTTACATCAGCAAACACATGCAAAAAGAACTAACTTAAAAGAAATATACAAGCAGTCTCGAAGGGCCTCCACTGTAACAACTCACATCTCGATTAATGTCGCTGAAAGCTTGAATGGAATTCAAACGTGCACAATACTTGCTCTTGCTGGCAATATACACACAGCATTTATGGGTTTTTCTTGAAACAGAAGCAGACCCCTTGAGACCCAATGCGTAGCGCTCATGAAAACTTGGAGTAGATGCATTAGACAGAAGTTGAGACAGCTTAATTTTATTGTTCTGGGAAGCATCCTTCTCATTCCCATTTTCTTCTGCTTGTGCTCCATTCAACAACAACTCAGACCGCTGATGGATTATAAAACAATATGAATAGTTCATTAATCTATAAAGCAACCCAAGTCATATTAAGCACAGATCATGCAGCTGTCCTACAAACCAACCAGCTGACTTCTGACTAGATAAGGCAATACATCCTGCTTTAAGCTTTGAAAAGTTTCCTTTTGATTAAGCACTTCCTGCAGAACAGACCTGTAAGAAAACCAAGTGAAATATAAGGAAATATTTGGATCACACTCAGTTTAAAATGGAAGAAATGAAAACCACTTGAAACCTCAAACCTCTTAAAAGCATAAAAATGAGCATCCATCAGATCGGCACGAATTTCCATCTGCAGAAAAGGACAAAAAAGAGAGATTCTGAGTAACTTAGAACTATCATTTTGCTGATCATTATTTAAAACACTTATGACTAGCAATTTCACCCACATTATCAGAAAAATATATATGCTTCTGCAAGCCAAATCAAACAATGACTGAAAATATCAGTCAGCAGGTAGGAAGAAAGGGCAGAGAGAAAGGTTTTACAAGAAGCAGTAGCTATTGCGGCATGGAATTTGGGGATGTGACAGAAGAAGGCAATGAGCCAATGACAATGACTAAGTCAATTTCTCTGGTTTTCTTTCTGGTGTTTAAAGGTACATGGAAACTTGGTAACACAACAATAAGCCACCAAGTAACCCACCAGCAAACAGCCCCCCTACTTCTAAATAGTTTGGCCCCGTGAAGATCAGCCAATGAACGAAAATTACGTCAATGATAAAGGAAAAAAATATCAAGAGATGGAATCTCAACTCAGTTATAGCACTTACAATAATAAGGGCAAATTTCATTTTATCCCCTTGAGGTTAGACCCTTCTGCACAACACCCCTTAAGTTCAAAAATAGCAACGCCATCATGTGGTTTGTTGATTAAGACTTGCGTCTATGTTGAGAGTTGGCATGAATAAGATCATTATCTAGAGATAATAAAGCCCTTGTAAGTTTTTGAAAATACAAAAAATGTGAATGACCCAATCCGACCACTAATAATTCATCCTTCTACCTCATATTGACTCATTCTTCTTCCCCCCTCACTGTCTCTCATCACCGCCAACCATAAGCCCAAGGACTACAACTTTGTGGCTTCCAACCGGATCCATAAGAAACCGATGCTATCAATGGCTATCATTTGCTACAACAACGGCAAAGGCCCTCCAGCATCTAACCAGCTCCCAGAACCCCCATCAAAGAATTTGGAAGGCATTTCTTGATATATCAACCAGCTCCGCTTATTCCATTGGAATCATATTGCCAGTGCTGGCCACCCCAACCCCCAGGCCTCCTTCCACTATGCAAGATTGACATCATCCAAACTATCAAGCTCCTCAACTTAGAACCAATGTCAATGGCATGCTCCGCTTAGATGTATCCATCTCTCTAAGACTTCAAGTAGATGAGATCGAGGGCTACGAGATTCCATGGTGGAAAATGTGTCCACCTATGGGTCGTGGCAGCTCCAATTTCAAGTTGAACAAGATATTGCAGTTCAACTTTAATTCTATCCATAGGTTGAATATTGATTTTACAACAAATGAGATTGTGATTCGATATTTTTATTTGAACTTGAGTCCACTTCAATTTAGTTGAATACATATATTGATTCTATTGTATCAAATTTGAGCTCAATTTGATTTGATATTGATTGAAGTTGAATAAAAATTTTATATCTGAATTTCAATTGAGATTTTGATTTGATTTTTCGGCAGAAGTGGCGGCAATCACGACTGTGATGGTGGTTTCTCTCCATGAGATGCGGTGGGTGGGTGGGTACAGTCATTGAATGTGATTGGGTGGTGGGTTCAACAGTGGTGGGGTCAATGGGAGGGCATCCACCTTGTTGAACAGGTTCTCTTATTCGATTTGGCTTTCAATGTTATGTTTTAATGTTGATTCCAGATTTCAATGGCATAATTGTACTTCTTATTTATAAGCCTTTTATTGTTTGAATTTTTGAGTTTTGATAGTGGTCTTGGGTGGTGGCTCTAGTGTGGCAACTTGTGTTGGTGTTTGTGCATGTTGTTTCGAGAAGAAGAAGGTGAGAATAAGGATAAAGAGAGAAAAAGGGGTGTGAAATCATCTTATTAGTGCTACTGCCAACTGACGGAGTCTGCTGTGGACTTTAGTCCACAAAACCCATGGGGTTTAGGCGGTTATTTTTAAAGATGAGGTGTTAATGTGCAGAGGGTTCTAAAATCTAACCACAATGGGCATAAAATGAAGTTTGCCATAATAATAATAACAACAATACTAACAAAAACCAAGAAATGAAGAATATTGTCTTTGTGAACATTGGTCGCCCATAGAGAGAAGCTTTTCAGATAAGTAAGGAGGTAGGCTGGTTGAGGCAATCGTTTACCTCACCTACTGCTCGCAGGATGCTCTTCTGAATTCTAATATCTTTCTCAACTTCAGCTCCTGTCCCGAGTCACACAAAATACAGTAAGTTATCTTTTCAAATCAGATCCCAGACACGTACATATCCACAAAGATCTAACCAGCTGCTATATGCAACAGAAACTGTTTTGTGGGGTCCAGTCCTATAACATTGTGGCGTCCTGGTTTCTTAGCTTTGTCTTTTCCACTAGAGGAACCTGACTCCGATGGCCCACAGATAGGAGCAGAGCAAAGCATTGCAGTTACTACTGCGTCATGTCGTCTATGAGCAGCTGCCACTGCCCCAGGGGGAACATCACAAATGAGATCACCACTCACAACCTGCAGTACCACAGAACATTAGATACCCTAGAGGACCAATTTTTCCAAACTGAAATGTGACAACAGATGAGAATTCCAACCAAGATGTCATTTGCAGTCAGGTGGTGTGCAATGGCCCGAAGAGCACCGGTGGTCCCAACATCCTCAGGGACTGCAGCTACCTGCATAAAAAAGGTGGTCTTAATGCACACCAATCTTTTATATATGATGTGTAACAAGGGTTTGCACAAACAAAAACATGGCACAGATAAGCAACTGAAGGAGTGGATATAGCTCCTCTCTAAGTAAATATGCAAGCAATGTCATTAGAGTTATAAGGCATGTGTTGCTACCTCTAAGAAATGGCTTCTCAATACATAAAAGTAAAATAAATCAAAGTCAACTTAATAGGATTGAATCTGCATAACTTACCATAAGAAAAGAACTTACAAAGAAAAAAAAGCTTTTATGGTGCTACTCACAAGAAAGGATCGGGTGTCCTCTCAAGCAATTTCACTAGCATACTAATAAGAAATTTAAAACAAAAGAGTTCAACTTCCTAGATCTACTTTTCAATTAAACCAAAAAAATTCCTAGAGAAAAAAATTTGGTTCCATTTATTTAAGATTACTGAAATAAGGGTATTAAACACAAGCCTACAAGATGTTCCATGCTAACAAAGCTACTCATCCATATTATCCAAATACCAAAACATCAAGCATTTACGACAATATTTTCTCAATATCTCAAACGATTCTTACTAATTAAATTAACAACTGCTAAAATGAGACTAATTTACAGTACAATAATTCTCAGTTCTGGTATTCATTTTTGTTAATTTAAACAATTTGATCTGCCAGCACACCCAAAAGGATAATGCTCCACAATAATTGTGGAATAGAAGTTGGCAGTTTAGATTTTACTCCCACACAGTACTGGTGTGGATACAAAATAATTAGTTCGTGGGTCCTGATCAGATACAGAAATGCATGGACACTGTAAAGAAAATCACTACAGAGACGGCAAGTAGTAAGACACCCACAGCAGATGGTTACAACGTAAATGCTTTAAAGATACTTAATAGATAAAAGAAAGAACAACTAGTGATGTTGAGATGATTCAGTTTCACATTCAGGGTCTCACGTGTCATATTCGTGTTCACATCATAAATGTGTCAAACATATGTTAAAAAACCGAACAAAAAAGTTCAACAAACAAATTATTTGTGTCAACCCATTTAGGATCCTATCTGGGAGACTGGGACGTATCTAGAGAATTATGAGAGGACAGCAACCTTTGCAATTCAAGGCAAATTATTGCTAATTTTAATCCTAGTTAACACGAGGGATTTTTTTATATATTTCTGAGGAGGTGCAGCAATCACCCATGGCCATCCCCTTAGATCCATCAAATTCAATTAGCCCCCACCCAAAGCTGCTAAGAGCTAACTTCATGTCAGACTCGAGTTGTGTTAACATGTGGCAAAAAGTGCCATACATCCACAACTAAATCACGCCTATTCCACAAATTAGTGGCAAAAGAGCTAAAAGGTTAAATAATCACTATTCTATTTGCCATCCTCCAAAATTATAAGTAGTGACGCTTTTCATTTCATTCTAAATAGAACCCAATTATGGAGATTCGAGATGATTCTGCAGTTACCTCAACATGTAGGCGATCAACATAAGCGCTTGAAATCCAACCCCCAACAAGAAGAGCTGCATATTCCCCTTCAACTACCTAAACAAACAACCACACCAAATAAATCAACAACCCTAATTTCCATAGAAACCAAATTTTCACTAGCTAGCATTCAAGCAAGGCATAAAAATGGACTAAGATCCTGTCTACTGGCAGATTCTCTCAATTCAACGTGTATTGACACTGAACCCAATTAAATACAAGAATCAGATTGATAGTGTGTGATCTAGAATTCAGTAACGAAAAATGTCCGAGTCCAAAGAAATAATGAGAAATTAGGATCAACAGACAGAAAGAAACTTACGACAATGAGATCCTTGAGATTACTTTGTTCCAAAAGCTCCAGTACATAAGACAGAACTGGTCGGTTCGCCACAGGAAGTAGCGCTTTCGGCACCTCCTGCGTTGTTTTCACAAATAAATACCCAAATATAAAAACAGATATTTATACCCACAAACACAAAAAACCACAAATTTTGGGAAGAAAGTAGTTGATTTTATATAATGATTGGTCAGAGATAAAAGGGGACATGCAGGATTGAGGAACCTCCTGCGTTGTTTTCACTAATTAATACCCAAATATTACCAGATTTTTGAACCCTACACACACACTCAGAAACACAGACATAAACACAATTTCGAGAAGAAAATAGTTTATTTACATGATTGATTGATTAATTAAAGACAGAAAAAAAGGTGGGATAGAGGAACCTTGGAGACGAGAGGGAGCAGCTTCTTTGAAGTGCCGCCTGCCAATACCACCACCTGAAAATCCATTCCCATGGAGAGAAAGAGAGACCCGGGCGGGGGGGGGGGGGGAGGGGCGAGCAAATACTGAACTGGGTTTTCGGGGGTTTATGGAAATGGTGCTGGTGCTGCTTTCATGTTGGAGAAAAAAAGCGTGCGTGACCTTCTCTCTCCTCTTTGAGGACATTTCTGAAATGGTAGTAGGACGTACCTTGTATCATAACGGTTCTCCACAAGTCGAGGGTTCGAATCCTCGCGTTTAGATTAGCAATTATTTGAAAACTAACATTCTCTTGGTCATGCAGATACGTTTGTCGGTGAATTAAAAAAGACTAATGTGCCTATAATAAAAGTTTTGCCATAGAGAAACCTATTAGAACTATTTTACATGTGCTTTAAATGTGATAATATTGTTGGATAAGTCAACTATTCTACCCGGATCAAACCTTTCGTTTATATATATATATATATATATATATATATATATATATATATATATATATATACATACATATAATAATAATAACGAGAGAGAAGGAAGGAGAAAAAAAAAGGCGTGAATCCATTAAAGATATGAGTTAATTACTTCTATTATGAGTTTTATATATATATATATATATATATATATATATATATATATATATATATATATATATATAATAAAAATTATAACGAGAGAGAAGGAAGGAGGAAAAAAAAAGGCGTGAATCCATTAAAGACATCAATTAATTACTTCTATTATGAGTTTTATATTTTTATATAATATTAGTATATAAATATTTGTTGATGCACACGTGCGTTGCATGCACGTGTATAATTCAGAATTATAATTTCAGCTTTTATTCAAGTTTCTAGAATTATTTGTTTGACATATTTTTTAGATGTATTTTTTAATGTTCATATTTAAAAGACTCGACAAGAATTTGAAAAGATTAAGTGATACAAGAGAATTAAATATATTATTTCTAAATAAATTGGTAAATTGAACAACATCACTTATTTGAAGCTATTTGCAAAATTTTAAAAAAAGTGTACACCATTGTAAAGAGAAATCTAACAAATAATGAAGGATACGTACATCATTATTATCACGTGAACCACAGGACTATCATATATTTTTATATGAAAAATGATTAAAAAAAAGTGTGCCTAGATTATCACATAGCACAATGAAATGGAGGTGGAGGATTATATAGTTTTACAAAAATTCATGAGGTGGAAACCAAATTTTAACTCAATTATTTATGATTGTGTAGAGTTCCACAATTTATCTTTTTTCCTTTAATCTGTTCTAACTCTTTACTCTTGGTCATGAAATATTTTCAGCAAAATTTATTTCTTATCTTCATATTCAAATTATTCTCCATGGTCTTGGAGTTTATTATGACATACTTGTGTTGATTTTAGCTACGTATTTGTCATCTAACATAGGAACAATTAAATCATCCTTAAAGAATTTGCTGGAATGTTATGCATCTTATTATCAAACAAGATAAGTGTATCACAACTTGAGGTTGATAATTTTCAGATTTCTTATTTTGCCAATTTTTAGTGACATCGATATGATAAAATCTATCGAGAATGATCATTATTTTTATTTCGTTCTCCAATGAAAAATTTCTCCAAATATGCCTCTTTTTTTTTTTTTTTTGGTAGAACATTCATTTCATGTCCTTATTAAACTAAATTTGTTCAAATTTCACTCACTCGAAGCAGATGAACTTCCTCCATCTTCCACAACATTATTTAAGATCATGTGTTTATATGAATGCCAAACACTTGGTTTCATTATTTGACAATCAATAATATCTCTCATCTGAAAAAAAAACAAGAGTAAAAAAGCTACAACTGTCTATCTTATATGGTTGGGTGTGTCAACTCTTTAATATTATGGATACTATGAGTCAATCTTATTTTTTTATTTTTTCTAGTACATATGAGTCACACTTTTTGATTACATGAAACAATAAACTTAATTAGTTGTTAGTTCTTTGTGGGTCAAAATGACAAAAACTTTATAGAATTTGGATGTGAAAATTTTGCATATTGGTCATTTTTCCAAACTTACTCATGTGAGAAAGCCTACAATTGATTATTTATCCCACACTTAATCTAGAAATTGAGAATCCTAAACTATTTACCACTACATTTTACTTGTGGAAAAGAAGTACAATATTTGACAACAAAACCAACATGTTGAATAAGAAATTTTTAAAAGTGAAGGTAAACATTATTGTTCCTTACACCCCAATGGTGAGAAATTAAAAAGGAAAATTTAAAGAAGGGTACTAAACCCATATATTGTTCATGACAAAGAAAAAACAAATAAAAAGACATTGGACCTCTTGTGTAGGTTAAGTATACAATCAACATATAACAATGAGACTCGAAATAATGAATCACTCCACATTCTCTTTCAATATGAACACTCAAATTTTAGAGCAGTAGATGTCATCTCAAGAACTCAAAATAAATGTCGACATACAAAACTCTGTTAACAAAATGACAGAATTCCAAAGCATAATATTATTGTCAAAGGGCGGTCCAGTACTGCCTTCCAGTTTCTTGAAATCTCTCATCAATTGCTTCCTCACAATCAAAAAAAGACATGGAACTCAAGAAAGAACCAATACCATAGCTACCTTGGTATCAAAGGTTGTTGAGTATGATTTGTTATACAATATATGTTAAGTGAATAATAAAATTACACAATAAAAGTGATACTCTAATTGCTACCAAATAAATAACCAGAAGAATTGAATTGTAATAAGATGTAAGTAAATAATAAAATGCAACAGATACTTAGAAACAAGGTGCACAGATCAAAGTTATCTTTGTTAGCAAAAAACAGAGAACAAGAGTTCGAAATCTATTCAAAATTCTCACTTAAACTATACATTTTCTTTAGTTAATAGAATATCATGACCAATTGTTCTTGATTGTACTAAATCTCATTTAATTCTATGCACTAACTACCACAAGAGCTTAAGTTCATCTTTTGTCTCCAAATTGATCACATATCCTAAAACAACAAATACCAAACCACCTATATATCTATCTATTCACAATTTGGATTATTCAGGTAAATTGAGAACAATGTCAAGAGCTTCATGCACATACCTAACACTATTTTCATTTTCTCCTTCCAACCATCTCAAATTATCCATTTCAATGCTAGTTCACTTTTTGACTCCACTAGTTAACCTTTATTTACAATTTTTTGTCTTATGGGATAAAAAAAGAAAAATAAGGCTTTTAACCAGGGAAGACCCAATTCAACACCAAGAAACACTAAACTACATGCTATTTTAGCGGATACCAAAAATAATTTTCCTGTCTGAATAATGTGTAGCAATTAAGAATCAGAGGCACAAAATATTTTCAATTCCATGAGATAATTCTCAAGTTTCTGAATACTTGACAACAAAATGAACTCTAAGAATTGACATTCGGAGAAACACTAAACCTATAAGTGATTCCTGTAAAAGTTCACATTTTAAATTATGCATTTTAGGACTAGATTGATGTGAACGCTAGTATAGTGTCTCAACTAAACAAATATGCTGATTTTTCAAACAAACCAAATAGTTTAGGTTTGTTTCACTGGATATACCTGATCAGTATGATTCTTGGAAGAAGAAGAAGAAGGAATAACATGCAAGTCTATCTTATAGATGCTGCAAGAAACAAATAATCAAATGCCAAATTATCTAACCCAGTCAAGACTCTAGATTAACACAACATTCACTATTGAAAATTTAGTAACATAATGCTAGACCAAATCAAATAAAAATTTAAGAGCCATCATAAAATGAATGAAAAATATGATAACCCAACATGCCACCTTAGAATTCTTTCTGCAATAACATCAGAAGGAAAAAAACTTGACTACCTAAACCTTGGTAATGACCTTGTTCCCCATCTAGCTTGATTCTTTCCTTTGATCTTCTCTTTATCCAAAGCAACATGAGAAAAGATCAAAATAAAATTTAAAGTCTCAAACTACAAAAAAAAAACCACAAACCTCTTACTGGTTGCCAAAAAGGCAAAAAGAATTATAAAAAAAAAATTAGAATTTCATTCAGCACCAACGTTAGAAAAGATGACCCCCACAATGTGAAACAGTTGAACTAAGCTTAATAAAATGGAGTTTTTAAAATTTTTGGCTGTAAAATTATATACCTCTTTTTGGTTGGTATAAAACAAAAGAGATTTTCAACATGCAAATAAATGGGTGATTTTCACATACAGCTCAAAACACAGAATCTCTGTTAGATGCCCAAACAAATCAACAAGAGTATGAAACTAAAACTAAAATATTTAATTCCAACATTTGAAAATTTGACCAGCACTAATCAAAATAGTTGAACTAAACTCCATAAGATAGTGCCTGCCATTCTTTTCAACTCAAACTAGGACACAAAATCCTCAATTTCTCTTCTGCTCTTCCATTTTCATGTAACTACACATTAATTTCAAACATAGAAACCCTTAACTAACACAAAAACAAAAAACATGCAAACAAACAAAAAAAAAAAAACAAAGGAACTTCAAAACAAAATCTAGTAACAATCTAACACCAACATAATCTCATAGACAAAATCTAACCCAAATCAACCTCAAATTTTCACCAATGCATAAATAATCATAGTCCAGGTCATAGTCCATTTGGAAATGCAAGCGATGTGATACACGTGCATACACACTCTTTATGTTCATTGCTTCAAGTTGCAATCATTGACGTATGTAAGACATGTCAGGCATTTTAAAATATTGTATAGAAAGAAGAATCCACAGGAATAAGCAATGATATTGTGTTAAATTAGTTTTCCAAAGGACAAAAATCAAGAGGATTCAACAGTTCCTCCTTAGAATGATATTCATAGAACTATACCCAATTCCTCAACATAAAAAAATTCTCTAACAAATTTATATTATTTTTATTAACCAAAATAACACATGAAAAAAAGGAAAGAAAACATACCTAATCAAAAGTTAAACTCATTTGAAGAACCATAGTCCCAACAAATCTAAATTCAATCTTGAAACTATTTAACACAATTCAAACAATTTGTAGAACCAAAAAGATATACTCAAAAGTCATAACCAAACCAATATAAATCAAGCAATTGGGTTA